ACACACACACATACACACACACACATACACACACACACACACATGCATACAGCCCTCTCCTGGAGGCTGAGGGCACACACCTACCTGAATCCCAGGGGGTCCTGGTGGCCCAGGGGAACCAGGCAAGCCTGCTGGGCCTCGAATCCCTTCGCTGCCCTGGAAAGCAGCACCCCAACAGTCAGCAGGGCCTGGCCCCGCCCACGGAGACTAGGCCTGGCCCAGGGTTCAAGGACCTCTGGCTTCTAGTCCTCATTCTGTTTTGACCTGATATAGTCCACACTCGGGAGAAAGATGAAGATCTGGAAATGGTCACACACCTACTGACCAGGCTCTCCGTCTGCGGGATGGCAGGGCAGGAGAGGGGGCTGGGGGAGTCACGGCCTGACTGAAGGGCCTGAACGCCATGCTAAACTTCACCAAATAGGCAAGTGGTTTCCAATCTGTACTTCTCAGAGCTCTGGGGGCGACTGGGGGGACCCTGGAAGCTGGGAATGAAGTGGGGACCTAGAAGGTGGAACTCCAGGACCCTATCCTTGTCTTAGCCCCAGCAGCTCAGATTCTTTCTGTTTTATAGGTTGAGGTTTGAGTGGAAAAAGGCTCAGGGACTCTAAAATTAAGTCTCAAAACTGCTAGAGGCACTGGGGAGCCATTGACGGTTCAGAGCAGGGAGGTGATGAGAACAGATGTGTGAATTGGAATGTTTACTGAAGAAAGAGGGGGTGGCGAGAGGCTTAGAGGGAAGGACTGCTGTGTTCCCGGTTCCCTGGTGGGGAAAGGGTGGTGTCTTGGGTTGGCTGCGGGGGTTGCCTAGCTGAGGAAAAAGCTCTTGGGGGGCATTGCAATGCCACCAGTCACCAGAAGGGGTCAGCACAGCCCAAGTCAATATCAGACCCCACTGGGAGTTGCGAGAGAACCACTGGCCAGAGTTTGGGATTCTCTGCTGCAACCCGCCTGGGCAGGAGCTGCCTCCTGGGTCCTCCACAGAGAAGGGAGATGGAGGGAGCTGGCTATCTCCAGTGCCCAACCTTGACTGACAGCTCGGGGAGGCTGGGAAGGGCTGGGGCCTCTCCTGAGCGAGGAGGTGGGGGGAGTCTCGGTGCTGGTGCTGCCAACACGCTGTGCCCTGGGATCCCCCTTGCTGTTGGGTCTTTCCTTGCCTGTACAGTGAGAGGTGGACTTCGTGGTTTCAAAGGAAAACACTTCCCAAATCTGCAGTCTCCTGCCCTCCCTCTGGGCCCCAGCCTCCACCCCAAGCTCAGAAGTCAATCTTGGGGCCACTTACACCACCCACCCAGCACATCACATCAAGGGAGGCCAGAGGCTCCGTGACACAGGGATATAAGCCCCAAACCACAGCAGAGCTGTATCTCCAAAATCCATGAAGCCAAACTAAGAGGCAGCCAGTGTGAGGATCCCCAGGTTGCTGCCCCTCCCCACACTTGCCAACAGGCTCCTTCTGCCCTCTCTGGGCCCTTGGGGACAACCCAAGCATGGCTGTCTGAGGGAGAGGCCCGTCTCCCTCCAGGTTAGTGTCCTCCTCCAGGGCTTCCTGGTCTCAGATGTACATCTCCTCCCCGGCTGGCCCGAGGATGGCCTGGTACATTCCAGTTGTCTGCCTCCACCATACCCTCTGCCCCCTCCCCACCTTCCACCAGCCTTTCCCCTCTCCCAGCAGATAGGAGCCAGGGTTGCTCAGAGGCTAGCAGGCATGCTGGGCCCAAGGCCATCCAAGGACTGTTGGCCTGCCACATCCTCTGTCTGTGTCCAGCAATCACAGGTTCTGATGCTGTGAACTCTGTCTTTGAACTTCCCCGGGGCCTGATGTGAGGGGTGGGACATAGCATGGAGGCTACAGGGCTCAGATCCACCACTGGCCACCCTGGGGGTCCTGCTCACCTTCTCTGCTTGGGGCCCAGGTGGGCCAGGTGCTCCAGCTTTGCCTGGGAATCCAGGGGGACCCTGTGTTAACAGAAAAGCAGGCAGGAGTGAACGCAGGCTACAGTGGGCAGCACCCCTTCTTTCCCTTGCGTGCACATCTTAAGGGATGGATTTTGACTTCCTAGAAACACCACCCGGTGCTCGTTACATCTGCCTGGCCCACTGAGCCCACCCAGGAAGCCCCAACTCCAGGTCCCACTTCCTGGAATCAGGCCTGG